TCCTCCCTCCTCCCTCTCCCTCTCCTCCCTCCTCCCTCTCCCTCTCCCTCCAGCGATGACCCACAGGCCTCCTTCTCTCTGTCTTGGTCACCTCTGGGGTCCAGGTGTCTGACAGGCTGAGAGCATTGTCCTTCAGTGTTAGTGTGACCTTCTGTGCTGCTATGCTCAGGGGTCCTGGCTGGGCCAGGGACACTTCCCACGCCCCTCTCTGGCTGTGTCCTGGGGGCGGAAGGCTGTTGWTCCTAGAAGAACTTCCTCCAGACCATCCCTCGGGAGGCCCTGTGCCCCCTGCCCGCCCCCCTCTGAGTGCAGAGTTCTGAACCCCACCCCCAGGGCTCTCTGCCCACTGCAGCCCACACTCCGTGGAGTCACTCCCAACCGCTGAGCAGCTGCTCTCCCTGGGTCCACCATCAGGAGCTGGCCTGGCCCAGGGGCCCTCAGCAGGGCGTCCTGCAAGCTGAGGGGCTGAGTCTTGGGCTCACTGACCTCTGGGCAGGGTCCCTAAACCCATCCGCGTGTTGGCAAAGTCTGGTTCCTTGAGGTTCTGGGACTCAGCTCCTGGGTGAGGGCTTCTGGGCCTCTCGTRGCCTGTCACCAGCTGGTCCCCAGGTTGAGTCCGGGCACACCCGACACCCACTGTCCCTGTCCCTCATAAGCCCAGAGGCAGGTGTGAGAAGAGGCTCACACTCTCTCCCTGGCTAATTTGGCAGCAGACGGCAGCCTTACCTGCCCCAGGAGTCTGTGTCCAGGGACCTAATGTGACCTCAGCATCACACCAGGGCTCACGCCCTGGCTCCAGCTCAGCCCGGCAGCTGGGCTTCAGGCCTGGGGACACAGGTGGGCAGAGCTGCCCCCAGGACCAGGCTCAGGACTTGCCTTCTGCCTCCCACTGAGTGGGCCCAGGGGACGTGGCCTGTGGTTCTGGACCTCCCTCTCCCGGGCCCTTTTCAGAGTGGGATCCAGAGGCCCATTTTTCTTTGAAACTTAAAAATGTCACCAACTGTTGGTTTCTTCTTTTCTTCCTGTGACTTCTGCTGTCTGTGGTGAGTCTGTTTCCAGTGCCTCCACTTCACAAGCCTCTCCTCCTCCGGGCTTCCTGCTGGGACTCTCAGCCTCAGAGACCAGAGGCTCGTGGGTCCTCCCGGCTGGTCTGATTGCTGATCTCTAAGTGGCTGCCCAGTGTTCCCCTCAGGGGTTTCCCGCRGGCCCCCTGAGAACCCCGGAGCCGGTTCTGACAAGGACTCTCCCTCTTGGGTGCTCCTTGTCCCTGGGGTGTCCTTAAGAAGGATCTGCTGAGTGCCAGATGAACTGGGGACGGACCTGCAGGGACTAGAATTGCCCCTGTCCTGACGTCGGCCCAGAGGAAAGGCAAAGAGGGGTTCTAAGATCCGAGGGTGGGGAGCAGTGCGGCCCACATGGARCACCCCACCCCAGCCAGAGTGAGGGGGCTCAGCTGTGGAGCACCTCCCTCTCCCATGCTCCTGGCCCCTCACCTGCTGCCCCCAGCCTCACCCTCCTGAGCCAGGCTCCAGGGTCCTGGGGCTGCCCTTGGGGTCTCCTCAGCTGGGACAGAACCTGCTCTGGGCACTTGCTCTCTGCTCCACGTGGAATTCACTCATTTTTCATGACGTACGCCAACCACATTTGTAGATGGCACTTTCATGATTCTGGCAAGTAGCATGTTCCCTTCTTGGGGACAGTTAGTCCCAGTGCCCCCAGGACCCCCTGAAGCCCTGGTCTGCAGCTGGAAGGGGGTTTCCCAGTGGTTGTGACCTGCTGAGCATTGTGGTGGGCCTCAGAGAGGGAGCTCAGACCCATCGACGAGTCACCTGGGACCCCATGGTTTGACCGAGGCCCAGGCAGAGGGCCCGAGGGCTGYACTCCCTGCCCAGCACCCCCTGAGGCCGCGTGGTTACTGCACTCTGGCAGAGCAGGCCTGGTGCCCTCCTGGCTCGGCCACACCCTGGGCARCCGACCTCTGGAGCAAGCCCTGCATTGACACAGCTTCTTTCACTTTCACCAGCCCCCACCCCCTTTCACATGAACCCCTGTGTTTGTCAAGAGAAAGTTAATTAAAAACATATTTTTCTAATTAAATGGCAGGCTGTGCTGTGCACACAGTACAGCTCTTGTTGGAGAGAGACCTTCCCTGTTCCCAGGGCTACCCTGGGAACCCAGCAGAACAACAGCACACAGCCAAGCCCACAGCGTGGGGACATGCCGGGCGCAGCACCCGGCTGCCCACAGCTGGCTGGGCCTCTGATCAGGGGCAGGCCTGGAACCTGCCCAGCACTGCCCCCACACACCCTGCTTATGGCCCCGGGGAGAGGCCACACCACTACCTGCAGGCTGGAGCCAGATACAGCCCCATGACTCCAAGGCTCACAGCTCCTTGACTCCTGCCCAGCTCTCCTCCCTCCCTGGGCCCGAGCCCGCCACATCCAGGCCCAGCAGCCCTTCACGTCCCCTAGAGCCAGCCCTGCTCCCTGCCCTGCTGCGGCCTGACTGAGCCTCAGCCCTGCCTTCCAGGCCCTGGCTGTGGACACTGGCCCACAGGTGGAGTCCATCACTGCCTGCCTGAGTCCACGTCCACCGATATCTCTGTGCCAAGGCCACGTCTGCCTTTGTAGTCCCCTGGACAGTCCCCGGGAGAGGAACTGAGTCCCTCAGGGCTGGACTGCACGCGGCCTGCTCCTGAGGGACCTTGGCTCCCTGCCAGCCCTGCCCGCACTGGTCCACCTGATCTCCTGTGGGGACGAGTGCTCAGGCATGCCTGCGTCACCTGGCACCTCGTGTGGGTCCCACCAGCTCCTCCTGCCCAGGTTGGGTGGTCCCTCTTCCTCTGACCCCCCACAGGGCACCTGCTTCCTTGGCCTTTGCAGAGCCGCTCTGCCCYCTCCCCTCCGGCTCTGCCTCCACCCAGCACTTCCGGCTGCACGCCCTCTTTCCTGGGTCCTCCTGACTCCTCTGTGGGAGGACTGTGGCTGGTGTGTGACCGTAGGTTTTTTAATACGAATTCTTTCCCCTTTTGCCACTTTTCCAGGATTTTTGCTTTTCCTTCTGCCTTAACTCAGGGTTACTGAAAGGGACACGGTGGAAGCCTGGCTGGGTGGCTTCCCGCCCTCAGCGGTATGGTCTCCTCTCCTGTCCCGGCCTGCCCTTGTCCGTAGGCTGGCTGCTGGTCTGCCTTGGTCTGGGCTWTTTGCTGTGGTTTATTTAGAGGGAACGGGGCTCACTGATTGCAGTCTATAGGGAAGAAAAGATGTTGGAGATCTTCCAAGAAAGTTTTCAGGCAGAATCTCAGGGCTGGCCACAGCGAGTCCAGAGGGCGGCTGCTGCAGAGCGGGCAAAGATGCAAGCAGACAGGCAGAGGCCAGGGGTGACCAGGACTCCCTGGACCCCCCAGGCCACAGCATGCCACCGTGCCAGGTGAGGACTTCCCGGAGCAGCCCTGTTCTGTAGCTGGGCTGAGGGCAAAGCCAGGTGCTCACCCATGGTGGGAGCCTGGGGACACTTGCCTGGGCCACTGACAAGACCCTAGGACAGGTCTGGGTGTTGGTGGCCTCGCTTCCTCATGTTGGTAAAGCACCTTCAAGGAGACCCCTGTCTCCTCTGCTGGCATTGAGACTGTCTCTAGCTTCATGAGCAAGGCCCTCTTAACAGCCTGTCGGGGCATCTCCAGAGACCCCGCCTCCCCTGTGCTCCTCCCATCTTTCTTGGTCCCTAGAAGAACCCTGGGAGGTGGATCATGCCATGGAAGATTGGGGAGCAGCCTGTGCCCTGGACGGCTCTTCCCTGCCAGGATCCCTGGGTGGGAGTAATAGAGCCCCGGGTCCTGGCACTTGGCTCTGGGGAGGAGCAGGTGTCATGGCCATGCACATGGGCCACCGTGGAAGGTGGGCTTGGATGCAGTGGACACAGAGGCCATCACGGGTGTCACATGAATGGTGAGGGTTTGGGCAGGTGGAAGGCAGAGGGGCTGGGAATGGAGCCTGGGGTTGGGAGTGGGTGCAGGGGAAGCAGGAAGGAGTCATGGGCCATCCTGGTTCCTCAGCTGCCTGGGGCCGGCTGTGTCCCTGCTGCCTGGGGGGTAGAGAGGGATGGGGGCTGCAGGTGGGCTTGGCAGGGCAAGAGCTGAGGCAGGAGAACACTCCTCAGGGTAGGAAGGCAGAGCCAGGGGTGGGGTGGGGGCAGAGGCTCAGCCAGACAAGCTCCATCAGGCTCAGGAGCACTGCTGCTGTCCTCCAAGGTCAGGGACACTTGAACCAGGGAGAGATACTGCAGATGAGTCTTCTGAGACCACGCGGAGCCCAGATTCCGGCCCAGGCAGAGCCAACAGGGCCAGCTGGCCAGGCTTCCTCCAGGTTCCCTGGCCACACCAACCACCTACTCAGCAGGTGCCATTGTCCTTGACCCTGCTCCTGCTGTTGACGTTCCAGCCTTCAGACCTGCAGGGGCACAGGGCAGATGCACTGGCACCCATTCCCTGGGGTGTCCCACCCCATGTTTCCAGGTGGGCCCTGTGTCTCCCTCCCTCCAGGAGCAAGTGGCCACACTGCAGCAGGCCTTGGGGGGAAGCAGGAAGGGCCTGGAAGAGAAGGGGARGCTGCTGGAGGCGCAGCTGGCTGGTCTGCGGAGCAGGTGCCAGGAGGGATCCCTGGAGCCGCTGCGACAGGTGAGGCCCAGCAGGGAGAGTAGGCCCTCACCTGGAGGCAGCAAACCCTCACCAGACTGCAGGCCGTACCTCCTCGGTCCTTCGCAGAAGGGAGGAGCCTGGGCTGGTGACCCGGATGGCATCTGMTGCCCAGGTGACAGGTGGAGGGAGTTGGAGGGCTGCTTCTCTTGCTCCACAGTAAGCAAGCACCCTCCGACAAAGGGGTCAGCGATGGGCGCACAGTTTGCGGGGAGGGGGTTGGGTATAAACTGAGGCCAAGCCCAGGGCCAGCGTCAAACAGAATGCCCACCTCTTAGAAGCCTGGGAGTCCCGGTTCCCCGGCCCTGGYGTCAGTAGCCTCTTCCCCCAGGTGCTCCGGAGGCGGCAGCGCGGGGAGCAGGCGGCACAGCGCGGAGAGCGGCGCGCCCGGCGGGAGCCGACCACAGCGCTGCGCACCGAGCGGGCCCGCCTGCAGGGGGAGCTCGCGGCGCTGCGCGCGCGCCGGGCGCAGGTACCTAGTGCCCACGTGGTGAGGGTGGCGAGGTGCGGGGAGCCGCCAGCACTGGGAGGTCCGCGGAGACCGGGGCCGCCGKGAAGGGTGTGGGTCCCGCCGGCTTCTGTGTCTCATCTGCCGATGGGGAYGGCACCAACTCAGGGAGTGGCCCCTCTGGGGGTGTCGCCCTGGCCCTGCCTTGGCTCTCTGGGGAGACACCAGGGTCATGGCAGTTCCCCTAGGCTTGTGCCTCAGCTCTGCCCAAACCCGAGACCAGCACACCACCCCCTCGGCTGTTGCCGCAGGGGCCACAGGGACCAGGCAGAACCAGCCCAGGTGGGCTTCATAAGAGAGGGGACCACTGCCCTCCTCTGGGTCCCATCAGACAGGCCAGCCTGCACCACAAGACCAGGAGAGCTCAGGCGGACCAGGGGTGTGGCTGGTCACCACCCAGCTGACCTCCATCACACAGGCCTGATTAGACMGTCCTTGTCCCCACCATTTGTGCTGCTGAGGCACTGCAGAAGCAAGAGGGTCATGCCATCCACCAGGCTGACCTGGCCAACGCACTRGGCCAGGGTGTAGGCCCGCGTGGGATGGACAGGGCCTGAAGAACAGGGAGTCCAGAGCAGGCTGCTAGCGGGGAGGCAGTGCAGGGGACGGAGGGGGGGAGCACTTGTGGGACAGGAGCCCAGACCCCTGTCAAGGTGAGGAAGCCAGGGCAGCCCTTCTCCACACAGCCCGCCCAGGGGCAGAGGCCAGTGGCCAGGACAGTCGGGGTAGCCCACACAGAGGACCACCTGCCCTTCCATGAAGGAGGCACAGCAGCGAGGCCCAGTCGGGATCCTGCTGCTCTCACGATGGCAGGGCACAGCCCAGGCTGTGGATCTGGGGAGTCTCCTCGGGTGCCGCGGGGTCAGGGTGGAGCTACGTCCAGCCAGGCTACSGCGGTGCCTGGGGGCAGCAAAGCCAGCTGTGGGCATTGAGCCGGCTGCGGGTCCCCAGGGCTGAGGTGGGGGAGGAAAGGAACAGCTAATGAGTTCCAGGAGGTCAGCTGAGAGGGGCCCACAAACCCATAAAACCTTGACTGGCGTCTCAGGAGGGGAAACCCGGATGTGGCCATGTGTTTGTGTTGGACTTCACTTTTCTCYTCTCTTTACAACATGCACTTCCAGGGCTGTTACTAGATTTTTAAAGAAACAGCTTTCTTTTTCCATCAGGGAGGACTGTTTTCCTGAGTCCTGAGGAAAAGGAGGGCTGTTTGTACAGAGCTTTAGCTACTGCCCTCTGGCAGACCACCCCCCATCCCAGGGTCCTTGAGAGAYCCCCAGCTCCACCCCCAACTCTGCCCCACACTGAAGGGAGGGCCTGGGACCCCTGCCAGGGCTGGGTGGGCCCTCCATGCTGCTGGCCCCTGCCAGGCATGTGGGCCAGCAGGCAGTCCTGCAGGAGCAGTGGACCTGTCCCCTCCACTCCTGCCCTGTCCTGGCCCAGCAAGCRTTTGAGGTCAGGGCTTTGGGGAGCAACATCACGGGATCCCTTCCTTCAGAGCAGTACCAGGAGGGTGTCCAGGGCCCTCTGCTGCTGCCCTCCCACCCAGTGAGAGAATTCCTAGACTCCACGGGGCAGAGTGGCCCACCCACCTTCATATGGAAAATGACTCCTGACCCCCAACCTGCAGGAGTGCCTCCTGCCCACTCCCACGTGGGTGGCCAAGAGGCCTCTGCTGGGGCAGCTGCAGCCCAAGAGAYGGCAGCCTGGGATGGGGGTGCTGAGGTTTGTGCCCCAGGTCCAGGGGGTACCTGCGTGGCCCTCTGGGTCAAGTGCCTACAGAGGCCATGGGTATGTGAGGACCCCAGCCCAGGAGGYCTGGGTGAAGGAACCGGGACAGAGGTCCGAGGATGCCACCTTAGCAGAGGTTTCAACAGGGACTCAGCAGCAGGGGGACTGGGCCCTGTTCTCAGCTACTCTGGCTACAGATGTCAGTGGTGACAGAGGTGGGGAACAGTGCCCTGGCCAGAGGTGTCCTCCTGCTCCCCCAAGGGAAAGTGGCCTGACCTCACAWCCCCACCAGGAGGCCACTACACCCTACCACCAGCTCTGCACCCTCCCCCTGCAGACAGTGTGGGAGACACTGAGGAGGGAGAGGGACGTGGCRAGGCTGGGGGCCGAGAAGCAGAAGCTGCAGCAGTCCCTGCTCAGCCTGCACCGGGAGCTAGACTGGACCCTAAGGCAGAACCAGCAGCAGCAGGTGAGCTGCATCATTGGGGTCCTGTGCACTGCAGCCTTGGGGTGAACCTGGGCTGGGCTCCGTGCCCGTCTCTTGCCTGGAGGCACTGGATGCGCCCGTGCGGGAAAGCTGCACATGACAGAGGCAGAGTCGAAACCCAGACCACAGTGGGGCCACCTGGATCATACCGAGGTCCCAGACAGAGCTGGAGCCAGAACCCAAGGCTCCAGGGGCCCCGCCAGTGTCCTTTCTAGGTCCCCTGCTCTCCTGAGGTATCAAAAGTCCCCTTGGGAAGGCTGCGACCAGTGTGGGCTCCTGTGAGCCAAGCCTGGCATTACCGAGCGGGCAGGGCCCAGGCCCAGGACCTGACACCCATGTGGACCCTGGGGCCTTGAGCCTCCCCTCCCACCTCCCCATCCCTCAACCTTGGATGCCCTTAGGACCTGCCACCTGGCCAAGAGGAGACTGGGCTGCCCTGAGGCCGAGCCAGTGGTCAGGACCCCAGACTCGTGGGCTGAATGTGTGCTACACCAAGTCTGCTGGGGTCCTGGGCCAGGGCCAGCACCCTGCGCAGGACARAGAGGCCCACCAAGGCCCTGAAGGAAGGGTGGGACCCCCATCAGGCCTTGTCTCTGGATTCGGGCAGCCCTCCAGCAGGCAGACGCAGCACCCGTGTCCTCCCTGCAGGCCCAGGTGGCTGAACTGCAGCTGCAGGAGCCAGCTATGGAGGCAGAGAGGCTGCCTGGGGCCCAGCTCCCGGCCACAGAGGCCCTGGAATCCCCCGAAGAGACCCACCAACAACAGGTGAAGCTGCTGGATGAGCAGGTGGGGCGTGGCCCAGCCTCCTGGAGCGTGGAAGGATGGGAGGAGAGKATCTGGTAGCAGCACCCCGCAGGGGTGACCACATGGCCTCCACGTGAAGCCTCCACTCCACAGCTCTGTCCTTCCACCTTCTCAAGAGGCCGAGCTGTGGTTGACCCCACCCATCCCTGAGAGGGGGACTGTGGATTCCAGGGAAGGTCACTACCCTCTCTGGGCCGCTGTCATCCTGTCTACAAAGTGGGGTCGAGGATGGTTTCTGTCGGAGGTGACCCCAGACTGGCTGGTCCTGTGTTCAGGGCCAGGACTGGGCCTGCCATGCAGGTTGGGCAGAGGCAGCCCTGCACTGACCTCCAGGGTCAGCAGGAAGAACAGCAGAGCACCCATACTCGGTGGATGGGAGTGTGGCAGGTTCTCGTRCACGCACCTGCATGGCACACCACACCCTCCTGTGCCTGTGCAGCACGCCTGTGGGCCAAACTGCCTGCTGCAGAGCCCAGAGCTGCCAGGAGCCGAGGGCCATGTGGTCCACCTCTCACTTTCCACAAGGACACTGAGAACCAGAGAGCAAATGACTGCCCAGGGTCATCCCCAAGTGAAGGGGGCTGACCAGCCATATTTGCTCACTTTATAGGAAAGCCCCTGCCCTATCATTCCCAGCATTGTCAAGGCCTGAGCAGAAGGGGGTCCATCACTGGAGTGGGTGTCCTTAGGGGGACCCTGGCACCCTCTGCCATTTSAGAGTGCCCTTGTTCCCTGGTGTTTCTCTCCCACACACACCTCCTCTCCTTGGGAGCCATGGACCGTGGCCTCCCAGCCCAGCCTGGCTGCACAGAATTCTCTGTGCCCTGCACCTGGGGCCCCTACCTGACTGAGTCCCTGCCTGTCTGCAGGTGGCCACCCTGAGGGAGCAGCTGGACCAGGAAGTACAGCGACCACAACACACCCACCTCAGCCAGGCCTGGCTGGTCAGGCAGTGAGCCCTGCCGCAGACCCTGGGTGGCTGGGCCCTGCAGCCCTGACGGACCCAGAGGAGGCTCCAAGCAGAGATGCTGAGGGCCCAGGCTGCTGAGGGCCACGGCTGGGAGGCCGATGCCTGTGTGCCCCATGAGAGGGTGGCACAGTGCAGACAGAGGCTCAGACAGCCACAGAGCTCTCCTCGTGTCGGGGGGCCTATGGCCGCAAGCACTTCTAGTCCTGCAGACTGCGGAAGTTCTCCTGCCTCTGGGACCTAGGCCTCCGCCTCAGCTGGACACCCCTTCCCACAGTGCACCCTTCCCACTTCAGGCTACTGCTCTGGCCAGACCCCTGTGGCCAGGCCCTCATCGCTCAGCCACAGGCTGGGTCCCACCCTCTGCTCTGTAAACACGGGGAAGCGCGTGCAAAGCATTTCCACCACCAGGGCCCAGAGCCCGCAGTCCTGCCAGGCCAGCACCACACCCTGTCCAGAGGCCACAGAACCTCCGCGTCCAGGAACTGCAGGCCCGTCCCCATGGCAGGTGGCTGGAAGTGACTCAGATTCCAGTCCCCATGACTCACTGGCCACRAGGGGCATTGCAGTGTGAAATTGGAAGCTGTTCTGAAGCTGCCTGCTTTCCCAGCCTGTGACTGCAAGGGACAGTCCCATGGGACTCTGCTGTGAAGGCCGAGGCTGCTGGGCTAGGCCTGCCACTCAGCTCGCTGTTGGATCTTTCACTAGCTTCCCATTAGCACTGGTCAGTGTGACTTGTCCTCTGCCAATGGCTCCTCTCATGCTGTAAGCTGTACATTTCCAGTATCTCTGGGGCACAAACCGGTCCAGTGATTCCCACATGCAGCACAAGGACCAGGCTGCCTGCCCGGGGCTGCTCCCGTCTTGGGCCCCTGGAATGCCCTCAAGGACTCTGGCGCCAGGCAGGGAGAACCCAAAGCTGACAGAGCCGCCCTGTCCCATGGTGGCAGCCCTGGCCCAGGTGGGTGGCAGGCCCTGTCTGTCCACTGCAAGATCATACGGCACTTAAATCAGCCAGGAGTCAGCGAGTGTCGTGAGTCACACAGACCGACAGCTAGAGYGAGGAGGGAGGGAGCCTCATTCTGCCCCTCTACTCTGCCTGGCTGTCAGAGGCTGTTMAGAAGTTTGCCCAGGCCCTGAGGGGAAGCCCCCAGAGACCCTCAGCAGGCTCCTCTGGGCAGAGAGTAGTGCTGTGTCATGCCGGCCCAGGACTCTTCTGCGAGCTGTGGCTGGGTGCAGGCAGCAGTGAACTCCGTGGAGGCCAGCAGGTGTGCCTCTCGGCTGCYGGGCGGCGTCCACGCCACACCCCCACAGAGGACCTGAGAGGTGATGGGGCAGGAGGCCGGGCAGCCCCAGCCCTGCTCAGGGAGCCTTGTGTGCCCAGCCGGCAGCCTGGCTCTCCTGTCCCGTGGTGCTGCTYCTGGCAGAAGCTCCCAACGGAGTCGGAACTTGGAAATGGGCACAGAGGGACCTGCTTCAGCTGTGGGGGCTCCAGGTCCCTTCTCAGCATCAAAAAGAAAGCCACGTGTCATTCGACCAGTCTGCTYCCTGGCAGCTTCCGGGGGATATTCAAAGTGCCTGTGAATCTGAGATCTTTGTAGTTTAAGAAATATYTAAATCAGCAGAGGAGACACTGTTTTTACTTACTCCACACAAAGGTAGATATTCAGGAAAAGAGGGTTTTCCACGTGGARACACTCTGGTGGGTGCCTGAGCACTGGTGGTGTGTCAGACCTCAGTGTGTCAGAGTGAGCCATTCCTGTGGCAGCCCTTCAGGCACCTGGCTCGGGGGTAGGAAGCTCTACTTCTAGATCAAGGCCACATGACCGTTAGCTGGACGTGGGTCAGCCCAGAACTCCCCAGCACCTGCTGCAGCTCCCCGCTTCTGCTCAGCAGGGAGGACACAGAGGTGCCCCCTGGAGAGGAAGCCAAGGGAGGAGGGGCTGAGATGTGCAGGCAGTGGGCAGGGGAGAAGGCAGCCCTCCACCTTTCCCAGAACACKGGGTGGGGCACGCCCACTTCCTCCGCTTCGCCCAACGTGGGGCCTCTGACCCTGACCAGCCCCCAAAGAGCTCAGCAGTGGCTTGAGAGATGTCAGCTTCAAGTTCAAGACCAGCTCTGCCCCGAGCTGTGCTTCTGCCCAGACAGGCTCCTGGTGTCTGTGGGAACCTGGAGGCGGCTCTCGGGCCTGGACCCTCGGGCACTCATCTCTGGACACCCCGGGCAGTGGCCCAGAGGCAGGCAGATACCCAGCTCCTGTCTTAGAACACAAAACCCCAGGCTCAGGCCACTTGCTGCCTCGGCCGAGGGATCTGGGACTGGGGAGGATCCCATCGGCCTCTGACTGGGCAACTCGGAGCAGACCCGCCCGCAGGTGCCCAGGCCTGGGGGCTCCCACCTCCCGGGCACCTCAAGATGGTGCCACAGACTACAGAGGGGAGAGGGCCCCGCCTAGGACCTCAGCTCCACCCAAGACAGGCCAGCACGCGGGCTGAGGCAGGGCAGAGCTCCCCCGCAACGTGACTGGGGTAGAAAGCAGGCAGCTGGAAACCGCCTGGGGCTTTCTTGAGCTCCTAGCRCACGGTGGTTTTCCAGTAGACCATGGTGGCTTAACTCGGACGTGTGCTGAGAAGTGGGTCAGCAAGAGTCCTGCCACATCGCCACAGGCGTTCACCTGCCCCCAGACAGTGTCGGTGACCCAGGTGACACAGCCTGCTGGGATCCCCTCCCACATGAGGTCCCTGCTTGACGGAATCGTCCTGCAACCCCAGWCCCACAGGGGCCCTGAGGTGAGGCCTGGGCAGGGCACACTGGTCCAGGAGGTCATCTCCATGTRACCGCCACTGGGGTCTTTCATGTCTCTAAAGATGCCTCAGAAGCAGGGCTACAGGCTTCGGAGCCTTCAGAATGGAGCGGGCCCTGGGTTCCCCACCTGCCCGTCCTCTCTGGGCTGCCCTGGACATCAGGAAGCAGAGACTGGCCCTGTCCCTGCGGGGACAGACTCCAAGGCACCCCGTGGAGCCTGGAGGGGCACATGTCACATCAGGCCCATCCTGGGCCCCCAGGCGTGACCCCGTAGGCCAACCCCCTGCCGTGGACAGAGGGGACAACCTGGGCACTCGGGAAGACAGACGAGGCCGCCTGCAGGAGCGCAGCCTCAGCAAGGCCAAGGCCCCGGGCCTGAACCCGCCGCTGGGCCTCTTCAGCTCCTCTTTTCTCTAAATCAAGCCTCAGTGACCACTTCAGGAAGCCTATGCCAAGCGCTTTCTGATCATTTCCCCCAGATCAACAGCAAGGTCCCGTCATGGGAGCTGGGGTGTGAGGTTCCCTGCGCATGGGGTGGGGGTCTGGGTGGGCTGTGCTGTCCCTCCCTTCTCTGCCTCAGTGGCCAGCCCCATAGGGCAGTGGCCAAGTGGATGGCCCGGGTGTGACTCCTCAGGAGCTGGGCCCACCTGACATCCCTTCGACCTCCCTAGCCTCCCCTCCTGGTAGAGGTGGAGGCTGACTGGGAGTTGGGGCTTTGGGTCATGCCCACATGACAGGACCCACTGCTCTGGCACCAGCCACCTCTGGGAGGGGAGCAGAGTCGGGGGTGGACTGCAACCCAGACCCTGCCCTGTAGGACCGCTGTCCAAGCCCAGTCTGACCCTCCCCCAGCCCCCAGAGGTGGGTGGGTGGACCCTGCATTCTGGGGCATCCTGAGGGTGGACTCCAGGTCTCCCCACCTAAAGTGCACACAGACTCCGGCCTGAAATTAAAGTGTCACAGGCCTGTGGGGTAGGCTCAGGTTTCCCGCCACAGAACATGAGCCTGCTTGATAGAATGATCCTGGCCTTGATAAATGTGGACTTTCTGTGGTAGACAAAGGCGTCCTTGAGACCAGAGGGAGGCCTAAAACAGCACGTTGCTGAAAAGTATTTCCTGATAATATTTTTAGCACCTGAAACTTTTTTTCTTTTCTGCCTGTGGAGTTGTGTGCCTTTTTCTTTTAATGACCCTGTGTTAACCCCCACTCTCCCAGACCCAACTAAAAATCTGCAGAGGGCTGAGGCTGGGGAGAGTCAGCCAAGCTGGGGCATCAGTGGTCACAGCCACCTGGGGTCAGAGGTTGGAGGGCGTGGCCTGCTGCTGGCCTGGCTCACAGACTCAACTCTGGGCACATCCAGAGCTATTCRGGGGATTCCTCCAGGTGGTGGGCCAGGACCCCTGGTCCAGGCCCACCCCTCCCCTGCACCTCAGGAACAGTCTTAGACTCAGAGCACTTACTCATACCCTGCTCTTGGCCAGTGCTGGCCCGCAGGCCAACCTAGTCCAGGGATCCCCAGGTAGGCCCAAACCCTGACTAGAAATGGGCCTTTACCAGCGTCCTGTGCTCAGAAGGGGGCTGCCAGCCAGGGCAGCCTGTGCAGCCTGCTCTAAGGAGCAGGCCCTGGGCTGGGCTGGAGGGCAGAGGAGGAGGGTGCTGTAGGAAGGAGGACTCAGGGAGCAGGTGTATGCTCCTCGGGCTCCAGGGGTCTCGCATCAGGTTGGAGCTGGCCTTCTACCTGGGAAAACAGAAACTAAGAAAACCAGGACTTCCCAGAGGTCCCAAGCCTATCTGGGGGCAGGGGGACAGAGACTGCCAGGCTTTCATAGAACAGAGACAGTCTGAACAGTCTGTCCTCTTGACTTGGTCTCCTGGCRGCTCTGCCCTTGAGGCCAGTCCATAGGGACTGCACCCTGGACCCCCTGGCCTTCACAGGGAGATATGGAGAAGCACAACATGGTGGTGTGCTGTCCTGGGGGTTCTCAAGGCCAGGAGCCCAGCGCCAGGGCCAACCCTCCCACTGCTAATTGAGGGCACAGCCTCAATTCGCCCCTCACCAAGCAGGGGATGAACACCGCAAGCCAGGCCCAGGTGCAGGTGCAGGAGCGCTCTGTGGGACTGGGCCCCACAGGGCCAGCCTGACATGGATAGCCACCAAGCCAGGACCTCAGAGAACCCCTCAGGACACATCACCCAGCACAGAGAGGACAGTGGAGACTGGGCCCCMGGAGTCCAGTCTCTGCATGGGGCTTAGGTACGCTGAGGTGGACGAGACTGGGCCCTGAGGGAATGACAGGGCCAGCACTACCTGAGGTGAGTGGCCCCAGAGGCAGACAGAAGGGTRGGAACAGTCACAGGCACGGGACACCGACTCCATATGGAGGCTGCTGCCCTTCCTGCCCCCAAGTCCTGAGTAACTGGTCCCCAGGGAGGACGGCTCTGCCTAGGGACTGCCTTGGCATCTTGTCAAAAGCAGGACGACGGCGGCTGGGGCTGCGGCTGCTGTCGGAGCCCTTCTGGTTCTTTGGCGCCGAGCACTCCAGACTCTACGTGAGTAACTCATCTTCTGGTGAGTACCTGGACCCAGAAATCTCCCCTGATGTGGTTATGCGTTTCAGAAACTGTTTTGTGCCTTGGCGACTCCCAGGGCCAGGGTTTGTCCTGGCATGGAGCGAGAGCCGGAGTACTCTCTGGGAGGAGCTTGCCSGGTGCTGAGGAGAGGCCGCACAGCTTCCCCCAGGGGGCTCCGGAGCCAGCGTCCAGGACTGAAGCTCCATCAGGGCCAGGACCGCGTCACCTGGACAAAATCCCTGGAGGGCACCCGGAGTTCTGCCCCTCCGGCCCAACATCTGGGGCAGCCCTTCGGAAACAGGTGTGCCTCCGAATTGCTCTGCCGACTCAGACACATCCTTCGCGCCCAGGATGGAGCGAGCCTGGGAACCACAGAAGAGGACACCCCGCCCCAGGACGCGCGCCTGCCAAGTTCTCGCCTCGCCAGTGCACAGGCCGGGGGAGATCCAGGGGTGCGAGGGCCCCCATTAGGCCTCCGGATCCAGTCCTACCCAGCGCYGGCACCAGCGACCACTGGCAGGGACCCCTGCGCGCCCCTCCTTCGCGCGGAGCCTGGCGCTTTAAGAGCCACAAATTTGCATGGCCCCGCCCKGCCCCGCCCCGCCGAGCAGCGCCGCGCCGGCTATTTAAAGCGCGSCCCCGGGGGCGGAGGGCCAACAGCGGTCCCGCCCTGTGCCTTCTCCGCGGAGCGGGCGCGGGCTGCGGAGCCCACCGACAGCGCGGCTGGCCAGTCCCTGCGCGGCCACCTGCCCGAGGACCGCGCGTCCCGCTCGCAGACCTGGCGATGCGGAGCGGCGCCGCCTGGGCGCTGCTGCTGGCTGCGGCGCTGGGGCTCTGGACGCACGGGGTGCGCGGCGCCGTGGCCCTCGCCGACTTCTACCCGTTCGGCGCCGAGCGCGGCGACGCCGTCACCCCAAAGCAGGACGACGGCGGCTCGGGGCTGCGGCCGCTGTCGGTGCCCTTCCCGTTCTTCGGCGCCGAGCACTCCGGCCTCTACGTGAGTAACCCCAAGCTCGCGGCTGCGCCAGGGAGGGCGCTGTGCCCCGGCCGCTGCCCGCCGGCCCGGACTCACGCTGCCGCCGCCAGCTACTTGGCACCACGGCGGCCAGAGGTGGAATGAGGACAGCGCTTCCTCCCTTCCGCGGCCAGGGCCGGACAGCGGCCGGCGGGAGAGGCGCGGGCAGGGCGGGGCGAGAAGCAGCCAGGCCACCTTGGCCTCAGCGCGCAGAGCGGTGCATCCCTGCCGCTGGCGGTGCCCGCAGCCTGCACCCTGAGATGGGTCCGGAGCGCCCCGCGTTGTTTCCTTTTCTGACAGCCATGTGGCTGCAAGGAACACGGCCTTGAGCCTGGGTTTCCAGAGTGGGGCACTTGGCCGGTGATCCCTTCCCCTCCCAGGCCACTTCGACCCCGCCCCCAGTTGATTCAGGAGGCCCAGTGCCAGCAGACTGACCCTCCCCACTCCTCAGGGCTTCTTAGCAAATCCGCCTGGCCAGGGCTGGAAGCCAGCTGCAGTGTAGGGGGGCTCTGGCTGGAGTCAGTGAGCTGTTTCTTCTCTTGACCCTTCTGAGTCCCAGGGAGTCCAACAGGACCCCCAGAGGGAACTGCTGGAGCCCGGAGGTGCAGGAAAAGGCCTGAGTGACAGTTCTGTCTCCATGTACCCAGGGTGTGACTGCTGGGCCAGTCACTTGAGGGCCACCCAGGGGATGAAGCATGGTGAGGTGGCCTCTGTGCCTAGTTCCCCAGTGGTCCCCTGAGCCACCACATGCTAGGACAGGCTGGTATACAGTCATCCCAACACCATTGCCCCCACCAAACCCGGGTCACATCTACCACCATCACTCTTCTCATTAGCACTGCCACCTGTGTCCTCGCTAGAACCACCAACACTGCCGTCAGCAGTACCACCTACTGTCACCCCTTCCACCATAAGCATCACCACCACGTGGTCCCTAACATCTCCAACACCACTCCCCTCACCAGACACTCTCTGCACTGCCCTCATGTCTTCCCCATCCCATCCAGAAGCAGCACAACCTCCAATATCCCTGTACCTGACAGCCACCCCAGGGACCACTCTGCAGCCTGGCATCCCCCACGCCCACCCAGGGAGCATCTGGGGCTGGGGCTGGGGGCATCCTTTCTCTATAGATGCCACCTGAAGGTCCCTCTGGGCCAGGAATTGACAGAGGAGCAGAGTGTACTCCTAGACATGGAAAGTGGTCTAGAGCTAAGTTCAGGTCAGAGGAGAACAGTCCATCTCAGGAATGGGAAAGCCCCGTGTCAGCACTGTCCTGGCAGAACTCTGTCCAAGTGTTCCTTAAGCATCTGGGCCAGTATCATCTTCCCACTCAAAGTCACAGTGAAAATACTGCCCACATCGTTGACCCTCTAAACGACCTCACCGAAAACAGCTATTCTTGCCAAAACAATGGGAGACATGGTTCTGAAGTGGAAAGTTTGGCTAAAAAAACAAAGGCGTCATCAGAAATGAGTCTTCCAACTGTTCTTTCCTGAAACACAGGTTCACCTRGAACACCCTTGCTGTGTGGATGGACTGTGTGCAGTGCCATTCACCTTTCCCTTTTTCAGTGGGCAGGGGACAGAGTTCTTCAGGGAGCCGTGTCCAGGACACCTGGCCTGAAATACCTGAGCGGGCTCTGTGKTCAGGGAGGGAAGCAGATGCAGGGTGTGGAGACAGATTCGGTCCAAGCCAGACACAGAGAACGGAGGCATTTACTGCAGGGCCTTTCTGGGTGTCCATGCGCCCACCCTGGCAGACAGGACTCTGCCCTGGATGTCCCTTTCTGGCGCCTGTGTGGGCCGAACAAGGACCTTCTATGTGGCCTCTGCTCCCTCTGCCTTCAACCTGTGGCTTGGCCAAGAGCAGGCTGATGGCATGAAYGAGTGAATAAAAGCTCTGTCCCTCTGTACTGGCCTGGGTCATGTGGGGAAGGCAGCCGTGCCTGTGTGGGGCGAGTGCTTCTTCAGTCTGTGTTAGAAACAGCTGGCCGATGTGGCCCCAGCAAGACAGGGCCACCTCAGCTGGGYGGCCCCTGCCTGGAAGGGCCCCACTGTTCTGCTTCTTTCTCGTGTGACAGCTGTTGCAYCTGGCTAGTTGTGAGGCTCTGGGACGGCTGAGGGCCACACCGACAGGACTGCCACCAGCCCGCTGCAGGCTCTGGGTAGTGATGGGAGTGGGCCGTGGCCTGTGGAACCAGTGGGGCTGTGGAAGAGGAGTGGTCTGCTCAGGCAGATGTGGACCGTGAGAGGGAATGCCTGTTGCCCCCAGGTGCAGCCCCACCCAGGGGAGCATCCGAGGGCCACACAGAGAATCTGGGTGTGTTGAGCACAGGCAGCCTGAACGKTGGCCTTGGGTAGCACACCACTTCAGCCTCTGTCCCTTCTTTGCCAGTGGAAGGGAGTGCCTGGGGAGCCATTTCTGTTAAGGTGTCGAGCCCTGGTGGGCCAGGAGTCTCTTAGGGTGTGCCGTGGATGGGGCATGAGGCATCTCTCCAACCTGAGCTGCTGGGGTGTGGACAGAGTCCTGTCTCCCAAGAGAGCACCTTCACCAGCCCCTGGAGGCTTCCCCAGGGGTCCGCCATGTGCTGTGCCCTCATATACTGTGACCATCCCTTATCACTGCACCTCTGTGTCTTTTGAAAACTTTGGAACCATTCCAAGAAACGTAGAACCCTGAGTGGGAGGGACCAGGAGTGGGCAGTGTCCCTGCAGAGCCCTTGGTCAAGAAGGACTGTTGATATACAGAATGCTCTTGAACTCTTGCTAGCCATCTCAGCTCTCGTGCCCTGGGAGGCCAGGCTTGGGTCCACACCCATCTGCCCAGCCTTGGATGGCCTTCCCACCCAGAGAGCATGGTCCCAGCACTSCCCTCCCCAGTATGGGGTGAAGCAGGTGCTATGGTGTCTGTAGGCAGGTTGTGGACTTTGCCTGGTCATTTCCTCCACCAACCTCAGTTTGCCTAACCATGGAGAGTGGCTTCTCCCACCATGTCTGTTGGCCTCTACCTGGGGCAGGGGGAGCAGGAGAAACAGCCTCCCAGCTACCAGGAAGGCCGTGGAGAGAGGGGATGTGCAGAGGCTGMGTAACACTCAGACCACTGCAGCCTGGGCAGGGCAGACACTGACTTCTTGTTCCTGGCTGATTGTGGCCTCGACTCTTTTAGTAAGTGCATGAAAGTATAGCATTTGATCTTTTTAAAATCCGTCTGGCAACCCCTTATTTTTAATGGAGTATTGAGTTCATTWACATTTAGTGTGATTTATAGTATGGTTGGGTTTGATGTATCCTCTGATTTTTTACATCTGTTCTTTGGGGTTTTTGAAATGGTTTCATGTCATCTCTATTATAGGCTTATTAGTAATATATCTCTTTTAAAAAACTTTTTAATGATTGTTATAGTTTCAAATACATTTTAACTKTATATGGTWCATCTTCAAACAATATYATACTCTTCAAATACARTGTAAGAACCTTATAATAGCATAATCTATTGTTGCCATAAATGTTGATTTACACATATTATAAACCTGACAATATACTGTTAATATTTTGCTATGAATAACTAGTCATCATTTAAAGGGATTTAAAGGTTATAAAGTCTTTGATATTTACTCACCTATTTACCATTTCCAGTCTTCATTTCTTGTGTAGATCCAGATTTCCATTTCCATATTATTTTTCTTCTGCTTGAAGGACTTCCTACAATGTTTCTGGTATAGGCCTGCTGGGCGTAAATCACCTTTTCTGATAATTTTTTTACTTAGCTCCATTTTTAAAGATATTTCTGATGAATGGTGTAGAATTCTAGGTTGACTGTGTGATCTGGGGATTGGGCTTTTTGTTTGTTTCCAGTGTGGAACAGATGCTGTTCCATTGTCTATCAATCTGCATAGTTCCTAATGGGAAGTCTGCTGCCTTCTCATCTTTGTTCCTCTGGGTATAATGTCTTTTTTCTCTGACTGTTTTCAAGATTTTGTTTTTATCACTGCTTTTCAGCAATTTGATTTTTAGGTGCATTGTTATGATGTTTTTTATATTTCTTCTGCTTGTATTCATGATTTTGGATATATAGTTTTCATGAAGTTTTCAAAAAATTCTCAGCCATCTTCATTTTTTTTTCTCCTGTTCTTTGACCTTCTCATTTGAAGACTCAAGTGTATGTACATCAAACTGCATGTAATTGTTCCATTGSTCATTGAAACTTTGTTCACTTTTTGTTCTGTCCTTTTTCTCTATGTCCTTAATTTTGGATATTTCTATTTTTATGTCTTCAAGTTCACCACTCTTCTGCAGTGTTTAACCCATTAATCCCATTCAGTGTGTTCTTGTTTCAGCTATTTTATTTTTCACTGATAGAAGTTCTATTTGGATTTTTCTGCATCTTTCATTTATTTCCTCCTCATCCTGATGTTTTCTTTTACATTCTGAGCATAATTTTAATATTTATAATAGTTGCTTTAATATAATTATCTTCTAATTTTTAGCAAGTAACTTTAATATGATACTTCATACACCTGCAAAGTAAAATTAAAAGAATGGTATCCAAATATCAAACTGTAATTTTGGCCTATTTTTTCACAGTGGTATGGTTAGTGATTCTGAACCTGTAGAGTGAAGGAGTGAACATATTGAGGATKATGTGTGCTTCACTCTCAAAGATGGGAGTTACAGATGTGGAAAGGAGGAAGCACAAACAAAGCCAGGGGTTTTTATGTTGGATAGGAATTGGTATTTATAAATTGAGTTTATATCAATATAAACTCACATTATCCTGTGCAGATGGATGTGTATTGTGGTAGATGGATTCAGACATACCCATGTATGTACAGACCCACATTTGGTCATGTCTCGCATGACCACAAATACAATAATGGTCCCATAAGACTAACTAAGGTGGAGATGGAAACTTCCATAAAGCCATGCCATCAAAGCTGCCTAACCTCATGGATAATGCTCTGCTCACGTGCTGGTGTTAAC